GATTGGGGCTTCCCTCTTTTTTGTCTCCCCGTTGGTGGGGGGGGGGGCATCGGGGGGGTTTAGATCAATATATGTGATAATGAGTTGGGCACTCCTTTATTAGATGGCGTCATGCACTCCCGTTTCCTCCTACCCGTTGGCTTTCATATGACCGGCTCCCTGTCTGACTGTGGCCCCTGGGGAGTGCTCCTTCATGCCGGGAGACGTCATCCCCCACTTTTTAAAGTTCTTTATGCTTTCTAAGTAAACGGGCTCTTTTGTGTGTTTAAATGTATTGTATTAGGGGGGGTTGTAGAATTGTGTCTCTTCCGTGTCCCTCGTGTTGTTGCATTGTGACCCCTCCCCCCCCCGGGTTTCTGGTGGGGTGCGGGGGGGGGGGGAGGAATTAATCTGAAGGGGGGTGGAGGAGGGAAAGAGTTAGAGAAATGTAGCGCACTGTATTTGATACTCCGCCCCAGCATCCACAATTGCGCCCTTCGCTATATCCCTCACAGCAACCTTTTCCACTTAGCACTGAGACTCAGGTTAGAGTATGTTTTGTTATAATTGTGATGAAAACGGCACTCTGGTAGTGCCCTTATTGGCTGGTCCATGTCCCTAACACCCCAGGGGTCTTTTGTCATTCTGGGGATGTCGGGACATCTACCCCAACTACGCCTGGCGATAGGTAAGACCAGGCGATACATGTACAAAGTTTTTGTTATTTTTCTTTTCTTTGCTTTTATTTCTTTTCTGTCTTTATTCCCTACTACTCTTTTGTCTTCTACATTTCCTCGGGGGGGGGGAGTTGATGGCGGCCCAGACTTGTTTTAATGCGAGAGGACGTATTGCAAAGCTTACATTCAGAGATATCCTACAAGATAGATCATGCCTGTGAAACTAATATCCCTTAATGTTAAAGGCCTAAACGCCCCGAATAAGAGAAGGCTTATGTTTCGGGAGCTCAGACGCATGAACCCAGACATCGCCTTCCTGCAGGAGACACATTTGCCGAAATCGGCGAAGTTTGCTCTTAAGGATCATTTATTCAGGAATACGTACGAAGCCAGGGCCCTCAATAAGAGGAATGGTGTCGCCATTCTGGTACATCATAGATGCCTGTTCAGAGTTAGCAAGGTTTGTACAGACCCGGGTGGGCGCTACGTTCTGGTGTCGGGGACATTGCATTCTCAGGTTATGCATTTTCTCAATGTCTACGCCCCTAATGAGCCATCCAGCGAATTCTGGGCGGAACTGACGCGCATAGTGCTCACGCTGCCACACGGCATCGCTGTGGTAGGGGGCGACTTTAATGCTGCTCCGACCCCGGCAATGGATAGGGGGCCATGTAAGGGAGTTCCACGGTCACACAGGAGGGGGGGACAGGACAAACTACTACACACGTTCATGCAACAAACAGGTCTGATAGACATTTGGAGGGCGCAGCATACAGATGATATCGATTTTACGTTTTATTCGTCGCCTCACGATACGTATTCTAGAATAGACCTCTTTCTGGTAAACTCACTAGCTATTCCCAAGGTCTCGGACTCTACAGTGGGTTCCATAACGTGGACGGATCATGCTGATATTTCACTTACATTGGATAAACTAAACGTGGCGTCCCCTTGGGCCTGGAAGCTGAACAGATCCTTACTTCAAGACCCAGGAATCGTTGACATCGTTCGTAAAGAACTTAAGGATTATTTCACCAGAGAAGCGGAGTCAGGGGTCTCGAAAGCCACGGTGTGGGCTGCTCATAAGACTGTTATTAGGGGTATTCTGATTAGGGAAGCAACACTGAAGAAAAGACGGAAGTCTCAACTGTTAACGTCATTGTTGGAAGCTTTAAGAACGGCAGAACAACGGCATAAATCAGATCCTACACATACTAACCTAACGGCGGTGCAGGAAGTACGGCACTCGATTAAGGAAACGCTTCTAGAAGATACCGCGAGGGCCATTGTCTGGTCCAAACGCAACTATTATGAAAAGGCAAACAAGATGGACACTTTGTTGGCGAGATCCCTTCGGCCGCGGCAACGGAGCACTCACATCACGAGGATCAAAAATGCAGCTGGAGAGTATCAGACGAACCCCACAGAGATAGCCAAAGTGTTTACGGAATTTTTCGCTAAGCTCTATAATCACACTGCAGAGGACACCGCAGGCACAGGTCGGGCATTGGATAGGATACGGGCTTTCCTCTCTCGATCGCATCTTCATAAGTTGGATGTGGACGCCTCGGTGGCCTTGGGGAATCCTATCACAGCTGACGAAATAGGTGCTGCAATTTCCGCCTTGAAAAGCAATAAAGCGCCGGGACCGGATGGCTTTGATGGTAGCTACTATAAAACCTTTCGAGAGGAACTTTTGCCCCACTTAGAACCCTGGCTCAATGACTTGATGGATGGAGGGACGCCTGACAGGGAGATGTCTTTAGCAAATATTGTTCTGTTACCTAAACCAGGGAAAGATGACTCGGTCCCGGAAAATTTTCGCCCAATATCTCTAATTAACCACGATTCTAAAATTCTAGCTAAAGTTTTGGCAGGCAGATTGAACCCGATCCTTCCAGGTCTGATACATCCGGACCAGGTGGGCTTTGTCCCAGGCAGACAGCTTTTTGAAAACACGAGACGTAATATTGATATTATAGGGAGACAGGCTGCGAGGGGCACGCCGACATTGCTGTTGTCACTGGATGCCGAAAAGGCATTCGATAGGGTCAAGTGGGATTATTTATTCGAAGTACTACACCACTTCGGTATGCCGGATAGATTTGTAACTGCTGTTCAGGCTATGTATTCCAATGTTAGGGCGCAGGTACAGATCTCGGGAGCGCGAATTGCACCGTTTACCTTGAGCAACGGCACGAGACAGGGTTGCCCTCTTTCGCCACTGCTGTTTGTCCTCTCGCTGGAACCCCTCTTGCACGCTATACGAGAGGCCCCGGGCATCAAAGGTGTTACAGTGGGAGGCACGCAGTATGTGGTCTCGGGTTTCGCGGACGATGTATTGTTGACGCTCACTGACCCAAGGACCTCCATGGCGGCTCTAACTGAGATTCTAACGGTATATGGCGAAGTTGCTGGCTATAAAGTTAACTTAGGCAAATCGAGCGCGATTCCTTTAGGTATGTCGGAAGCCGAAGCTTCGTTTATAGAGGAGGCATACCAAATCCGAATGGAGAGAAAACAGATCAAATACTTAGGCGTCTGGTTGACGGCGGATCCCTCCCACCTATATCAGCAAAACTATATCCCGCTGATTAGACGGTTAATCAACGATATGGATAATTGGATTGATAGGCCAATCTCGTGGATCGGAAGGATACATTCAGTGAAAATGAATGTGTTGCCTAGGATACTTTTCTTGTTCCAGGCTCTTCCTGTCCGCGTGACAAAAGCTAACTTGGGGCCGCTTCAACAGACTATAGGCAGGTTTGTCTGGCAGAATAGGCGACATAGAATATCTCGCAACGTCCTATATAGAGCTAAGGATAGGGGTGGCCTGGGCCTCCCGAACCTTTACTATTATTACGCAGCGGCACAGTTGGCTCAAATAGCTTTGTGGCACTCTCCCCCGGGGGAAAGGAGGTGGGTGGACTTGGAAACCTCTATGATGGGCCAGGACATGCCCCAATTCCTTATTTGGACCCCTAAAGAACAAAGACCTATTGATCAAGTGATGTGCCCAACGATACACAGTTCCCTTGGGATCTGGGACGCTGCTGCCGTCAAATATGGACTGACCTCTGCCCCATCGCCCATGTCCCCTTTCTTAAGAAACAAGGCATTTCTGCCGGGCTTGTATCCCCGAGATTTCAAGGGTATTGAGAACGTGGGTTTGCAAAGACTATGCGAATTGTTTGAAAATGGCTCCTTTATCACATTTGATGCGTTACGTAGCAGAGCTCCGCTACGTCCCTGTGACTATTTTCGGTATCTCCAGCTTAGGGATTTTGCCAGGGATCCCCGGATCAAAGCGGCAGCACTGACTCCATTGACTTTCTTCGAAAAGATGTGCAAGGAGGAACAGTTCCCGCCAGGCCTCATTTCTTGTTTGTACTCTCATTTGAGCTCACATACTCTGGAATGGGGGGATCTCGTGTATACGGACCAGTGGGAGGCTGATCTCAATGAGGTATTGGAGGGTATAGAATGGCAAGATATCTGGGAGGCGGCTGCAAAGTCTTCGGTGTGCGTTTCCTTGCAGGAACAGTCTTACAAGACAATGTTTAGGTGGTATGTCACCCCAGTGAAATTGTGCCGAATGGGTGTAAACCCATCAGACCTATGCTGGAGGGGCTGTGGTCTAAGGGGTACTTATATGCACATGTGGTGGGATTGCGTAGAGGCACAAACCTATTGGAAACGGATTGCGGCTTTGCAGCGAGAAGTTTTTGGCAGAGAGGTAAAATTAGATCCATGGGTGTACTTATTATCTAGATCCATGGATGGCTGGACAAAAACGGAACAAGCACTCGTTCACAAAATAAACCTGGCTGCCAGAAGAGCGCTGGCGCAGGTATGGCTGCAGAGTAGATCACCTACCATTGCGATGATCAAACAGAAAATCAAAGATACTTTCCTGATGGATAAGCTAACGGCTCAGGTCAGAGGGACCCAGAAGAAATTTGATAAAATCTGGGATCCCTGGATTAATAGCATTGCAAACACCTGAGTTGGGAAGGGAGATTTAGGGTCCCCACTTGAGTTTATAAGGTAATATATGAAGGGCGGCGGGTTATAGTTCCTTGAGCTGGTCACAGGGAAAGCTAACGTTGCCTCCTGAGAGGGACGGAGGAGGCAAATTCGAAAACTTTCTTAATCACCTTTTTATTGGGCAATATTTCTCGGCCGACCCCCCTCCCATCTCCCCCCCTTTTCTATCCCTTTGTTCTCTTTTTCCAAGTCCTCGGACTCTCGAGGCACCTTACACTATTTCTTTCTTATCCACTGTTAAAAATTTTAAATCTTTATTTTATTTTTTATTTTTTATTTTTTTTTGGCCACGACCGCACATGTGGGCAATATATAGGGAATACCGGAAAGGTGGGGGGATAGGCTATACTTCTTACACAGTGTATGGGTGTTTTCTCCCTATTATCCTCTTTGCTTTATTAACGCGGTCTTTATGTAATGTCTGTTATCAGTTTTCTGTTTTATATATTGTAAAAAACCCAGGCGGGATATCCAAGCTTACTTTGGACTGCGGTCCACTAAGGAGATCGGAAACATGCTGATACTTAGTGATCTCTAATGGCGGGATTTGGGTGACCTTGATTGTTAATTCATTTTGCGGGTGTAAAGTGCTATAATCTCGGTGTATGTGCTTAATTATGCTGATCAACGAGTTGATGTATGTGAATTGCATGTGATGTCTTGTACTGGAATAAATAAAGAATTTAAAAAAAGATATTCTAAATAATATATATATAAAAATAACAAAACATATAAAACTATCACTGCAATGATACTTACCGGATCAACACCACCAGTTCAGTGGTCCTCACGGGTTTTGCATGTCGAATGCCCCGTTTGGTTGCACAACCTGCTTCTGTATAACAATTTGGATGATGCCTTCTTTAAGGGAGCGTTCTTAAATGCCAAATGTTTGGAGAATGTCACTTCCAATTCGGAATTGTTTGTGTTACCCGGGTGACCTAATATATGCAGTTTTTGGTGTGAAGTGGACTAATCAGAGTTTAGATTACCCTATTTAAACCTGTTTTAGAGCCACTGTTTCCAGCCACTCTAAGGTCACGTAATACGTATATCTCTGTTTATCCTGTTGGGCTTCCCATTTCCTGCGTGTTTGGGTATACTTCTTGACAAATAAAGATAAATAGTAGCCCTTATTTATGTGCATTTATCAAAAACTTTAGGGCATTTCTGGGAATGCAGTTTCCTAAAAATTACATCAAAATTGTCTGTACGTGAGCACAGTGCACGCTACAGTTATTATACATGCCTGGATATAAGAAACGTCACTGTCACTTCCCTGTGCCCCAAGCATATTCTTTATAGGATAGAGGTTGGGAACACACTATTAGGAAAATTGCCCTCTCTTGACAAACATATTTGATTAGTTGTCATAAAGTTACTGAGCTGGGTCACAGCTGCAAAACCTGTCCGTTGCTATGAAACGAATGAACCTTTAATCTCCAGTTATTGCCAGATATATTTTCAGGACTATCACTAGTACACAATTGCTTTTATTGGTCATAATTAACTCCAGCTTAACAGGAAATGGGCATTGATCTTTAAACCTAGCATAGCACAGCTGTGCAAGCAAATAACTGCAGCATAATACAATACATTGCTCAACCTGTCTCGGAGCAATACACTAAAAGAATGCTTTGCTAGTTACTAAAGAGATTGTCTTTGTGCTTCTTCTATCCCTTTCCCCTTGTTCCAATCCCCTCAAACCTTATTCACTAATGCCTCACTACACTTGTTGCATCCTTAATTACCATCTTCAATATATCTCTCTATTACAACTTACAAATATACAACTATCACATACATAATAAAAAAAATCTCTTCCTTGACCCAATGTAACTGTGTTATTTGCTCCAAATATATTTCCATTTTTTTTGCCAACAAGCATCTTGATTTTGATTACTTTGCATATGCCCTACTAGACGACTTTCTCAATTCCAAATCTTAACGTGATCTCCATTAATTTGCCTTCTGCTGCAAGAACGTCCATGATACTCTGTTACTCAACTTTCTATACAGATTTTCAAGGTGTCAGCACTACATTATTTATACTACTAATAAATAGAAGAGTAATAGTTATATAACTATATACTTGGATTTTTTCATGGGAGCCCTGTCTGTATCTTGGCAATATCCAAGCAGAAGAATCAAACCGTTTTACCTCTTCTCTGGGCTGTGAAGATATGTATGTCCCTTCAGATATCTAGAACATGTGATGACATGCAGTGAAACAAAGCGTAAAGTGTGCGTCAGAGTTAGTCCCGCAGGCCTGCGGTGGCTGGTTCCCATGGTAAAGGCATTGGAGGCTCCTATATTGTGACTATCTCATATTAGAACATATGCTTTGGGGCCACTGTGATACAGTTACATTTATTTCAAGGAACAAGTATACATTAGCTCACAGAGGAATACCAGGAGTACTATTATCGGACACAAGAACAAAGAAATATGCAGACCGTCTCAATTATATGAATGAAACTTACTGCATTGACTGGAAAAAATATATCTATGTATAGTGCGATGTTCCAAATATAGAACCTGGCTATTAGAAATAATATGGTCAGAGACCCTAATTAAACAAAGTATATACAAGTGAACCTACAATCCTATGCCAGCCCAGGGTAGTATAGATCAAGAGGTAGTAAAAAAGATAACCTCACTCCCCCTTATAATTAAGCTTTATTGTGATCTGCTATAGGGATAGGAGTATACAGTAGCTAAGTCTCTATAATCCATGCATCCTAGGAAGTATCCTGGTCACACTAGAAACATATTAAGAAAAACAGAGAGAGATAAGGACTGAAAATAGAAGTAAAAAATCAGTCAAAAACAGACTGATAATTAGCATTAATAAAGCCTCTCTCCCTGTAAAGCTAGCTAGATAGGCATAGGAAAGAAAAGAAGAAAACGATATAAAATAAAGTTAAATTAAATGGTGATCATGGTGCTCCAAACACCAGTGCCCAGTGCAGAAAAAACGCCCAACGTACGTTTCGGTGCAGAGAGATGCACCTTCGTCAGGGGCCAACAGATAACTGAAGAGAAGCCTCTTAAATACCCCAATTGCCAGGAAGCATGATTACCTTGTAGCCAATGGAGTGTGGGGGTGTATACCTCCCCAGCTGCCTCTAATATCCTGGCTATTCCTCTGTGATTGCTAATGCTCATTCATCTGTATGAAGGGGAAATCCCTCAGCCGGTCACGTGACCTGTGATGTCATGCGTCACGTGACATATCAGGCATTCTCCTAACGGGGCGTGGCTCATTCATCATAGTGCTGCAGTACCGCCCATCCGAGCCTCTCCTGTCCATCATCCTCACATGGGTTGATCCCCTGTGACAGATGGGCGGAGCTAGGTATTCTCTGTGTATGGAGAAACCGAAATTGTCCAAATTAAGGCTTAAATTGATAAGCTGCATATTGATAATGTATCATTCCAAAGTACCAATGTGTACTATATAGGATGTACAGAGTCAGCTGAAAATATAAGGCAGTGCTGATTACATATTATTCTAATACTGAATCTATTAAAGATGTAGTAAAGAATATGAGAGGACACCCCAATAATAAGAGAAAAATTGAATGATAAGGGGTCCTGGGATGTTGTTAACTCCCACTCCCCCGTCCCAGGCAAGGATATATGATAATAAATATATTTAGTGTTCATAGGACCCATGCTAGGATGCAAAATTAGCATGGTACATCCTGCCGCTATATCCTGTACACTGAGTCACTTGACAATATGAACCTCTGAATGACCAGATATGACTTAGTCCGTAAAATTAAAAAAAAAAAAATTGAAAAAATCAACTTAAAAGACCTTCCAATCCAACCTAATAGCAACATCTCTCCTCAAGAAAATATCTCTCTTAAAAAACTTAAAGAACTGGATGAGGTTATCTTTAAACCCTCCCATAAAGGGGGCAATACAGTCATTCTAAACAAACCTGATTATGTCTCAATGGTACAAAGACTAATTGGGGATAGCAATACGTATGAAGTTCTAAAGGGTGACCCCACTAAAAAATACTTGGCAGAGTTGAAAATAATCCTTGATACAGCTTTATCTCAACTTCTAATTTCCAGGGATGAATATAATTTTATGTTTGTCAAGAATCTCGTCACTGCCACCTTCTATGCACTCCCAAAGGTACACAAACAACAACCGGTACTAAATGGGAGACCCATAGTCTCTGGTAGAGGTAATCTGACTCAAAACATCAGTCTTTATGTGGATCAGATCCTGAGGAAACTAGTCACTCAACTTCCTTCATATCTTAAAGACACGAAACACACATTAAGTATCATCGAAGGAACAAAAATTAGTGGTCACGCTATTTTATGTAGCCTTGATGTGGAGAGCCTGTACAGCTCGATTCCACATGAAGTTGGACTAGAACATCTGAAAAGCTAGCTTGGACAGTAAACCAGTAATATCACTAAGACACAATAAATTCGTCCAAGATCTGATGCAATTTATCTTAACACACAATCACTTTACCTTTCAGGGAAAGTATTATCACCAGGTGAGAGGGAATGCGATGGGGACGGCTTGTGCCCCATCATATGCCAACCTCCACCTGGGGTGGTAGGAGTCTCAAATGGTATTCACGGATCATATGGTAAAATATACAAAGCATATAAAAATCTGGAAAAGATACATCGATGACGTGTTTATCATTTGGACAGATACCTCGGAACTGTTTTTGGACTTCGTCCACACTCTTAACTCCAACAATATTAATCTCAAACTGACTAATGAAATTGGTGGCAATAGAATTAATTTTCTGGACCTCACCATCTCGCTGACAGAAGAAGGGTCCCTCATCTCAACTCTGTTCCGTAAACCAACGGCAACTAATAACTTGCTGAATTGGTCTAGCCATCATCCCCCTTCCCTAAAGAAAGGGATTCCAACTGGACAATACTTGCGCCTTAGACGCAATTGCTCTACATTGGATGATTTTAAACTAAAGGCTAAGACCTTACAACTCCAATTCAAACAAAAGGGGTACCCGAATAGATGCTTAAAGCACGCTTATAAACGGGCCTTACTGTCAGATCGGAAAGACCTTCTAATCGAACATAACCCAGAGCCATCACAGGCAGTCATAAGATGTATAGGGAATTTTGATGCCGGCTGGCATCAAATGATGCAAATCTTGGACAGATTCTGGCCCCTTTTACAACAAGACCCACACTTACGGAAGGTAATCACACATAAGGCTTCAGTAACAGCAAGAAGGGGACGCAACATCAAGGACATGTTGGTCCCTAGCCATCTCAAGACTACACCCCAGAAAACATCATGGCTGAAGTCCCCAGTCTTAGGGACCTATCAATGTGGGAAATGTAAGGCATGTAGGTTTATACGTAGACCCTCCAAAACATTCCCAGACTCCCTCGGCACACAGGAATTCAAAGTAAAGAATTTCTTTAACTGTCAGTCCAAAGGGCTTATCTACTTACTTTCCTGTTCGTGCAAAAAACTGTATGTGGGAAAAACCTTTAGGACGTTTAAACTTAGGATACGGGAACATGTCAATTCGGTAAACCCCACAAGACAAATCGACACCCCTATCTCTAAACATCTGAAACTACATCATGGGGGCTCATCTGAAGGAATCAGATTTAGTGGTATTGAAAGGGTTACCT